CCCTCTCCAGCGTTTATTGCTTGTAGACTTTTGGATAGCAGCCATCCTGACTGGCGTGTAATGGTACCTCATTGTGGTTTTGATTTGCATTTCTCTGATAATGAGTGATGTTGAGCATCTTTTCATGTGTTTTTGTGCCATCTGTATGTCTTCCTTGGAGAAATGTCTGTTTAGTTCTTTGGCCCATTTTTGATTGGGTCATTTATTTCTCTGGAGTTGAGCTGCAGGAGTTGCTTGTATATTTTTGAGATTAATCCTTTGTCTGTTGCTTGAATGTTGAATTTTAAAGCCAGCTTTTTCACTCTCCTCTTTCACCTTTATCAAGAGGCTCTTTAGTTCCTCTTCACTTTCTGCCATAAGGATGGTATCATCTGCATATCTGAGATTATTGATGTTTCTCCCAGCAATCTTGATTCCAGCTTGTGCTTCATCCAGCCCAGCATTTCGCATGATGTACTCTGCATATAAGTTAAAAAGCAGGGTGACAATATACAGCCTCGACGTACTCCTTTCCCAACTTTGAACCAGTTTGTTGTTCCATGTCCAGTTATAATAATTGCTTCTTGACCTGCATACAGGTTTCTCAGGAGGCAGGTAAGGTGGTCTGGTATTCCCATCTCTTTAAGAATTTCCCACAATTTGTTGTGATCCACACAGTCAAAGGCTTTAGCATAGACAGTGAAGTAGAAGTGGATGTTTTTCTGAAATTCCCTGGCTTTTTCTGTGGTCCAGTGGATGTTGGCAGAGTTTGATCTCTGATTCCTCTGCCTTTTCTAAATCAAGCTTGTACATCTGGAAATTCTTGGTTCACATACTGTTAAAGCCTAGCTTGAAGAATTTTGAGCATTACCTTGCTAGCAACTGAAATGAGCATAATTGTGCAGTAGTTTGAATATTCTTTGCGATTGCCTTTCTTTGAGTTTGGAATGAAAACTGACCTTTTCCAGTCCTGTGGCCAATCCTGTGGCCACTGCTGAGTTTTCCAAATTAGCATCATTGTTTAGGATTTGAAATAGGTCAGTTAGAATTCCATCACCTCCACTAGCTTTGTTTGTAGTGATGCTTCCTAAGGCCCACTTGACTTCACACTCCAGGATGTCTGGCTCTAGGTGAGTGGTCACACCATCATGGTTATCCGGGTCATAAAGATCTTTTTTGTATAGTTCTTCTGTGTATTCTTGCCACCTCTTCTCAATATCTTCCGCTTCTGTTAGGTCCATACCATTTCTGTCCTTTATTGTGCCCATTCTTGCATGAAATGTTCCCTTGGTATCTCTGATTTTCTTGAAGAGATCTCAAGCCTTTCCCATTCTATTGTTTTCCTCTATTTCTTTGCATTGTTCACTTAAGAAGGCTTTCTTATCTCTCCTGGCTATTCTTTGCAACTCTGCATTCAAATGGGTATATCTTTCCTTTTCTCCCTTGCCTTTTGCTTCTCTTCTTTTCACAGCTATTTGTAAGGCTTCCTCAGACACCCATTTTGCCTTAGCTTGCTGAGTGTCCCACAGTAAATGCTGCACTTTTTTGCACAACCCAATGTCAATAGATTGATTTTGCTGTGAGGCAGGCAAGTGGACCCAAGTTTGGTTCAGTAACAACAAAACAATGACACCAATGTCTGTGCAAAAGGGTCCCCAAGGCATGGGCCAGAGAGATCCTTCCTGTCTGGAATCAGGGGCAGCAATGTGGCGGAAGTGGCATTGGCCCTAAGGACTCACAGGGATGGGAGCAGGGGTTTCTGGGAGCTACTGGCAGGAACAGAGGCAGAAGTGGGAGTGGATTTATGGAGCCCCACGACGGAGCTGTCCCAGGTGACCTCTGCTGTGTCTGGTCACAGGGCCCCCTGAGCCTCACATACCCAAAGCCCTGATGGTGCTCCATCATGGCAGCAGGGACCACTCAAAGGCCAGCAGCCTAGACAGGCAAGCGGTAGGTCTGGGGGCCAGGAGGAGGTGTGGGGCTGGTCTTTCTTTCTGGGGCAGGGGGATGCCATGGAGGGCTTCAGGAAGGGGATACAATGACTACAGGACTGGAAATGTACTTGCCTCCTTCCCCCTCCCTTTCCCCTGGTGAGAGGGAAAGTCAGCCATGGGTCAAAAGCTTTTCAGCTGACCCAGCAATTGTTGCAAGTTGTCACTGTGGAATACTGACACAGGTGAGCTTGTTACAGTGTAGTTTATAATAGCAGAAAATTGCAAATGACCTAAATGAACCTTAGGAGGTACATTTAATAAATGATAGTGTTTTCATCCAACAGAACACTGGGCGACCATCTAAAAACTCCATGTTAGTCTATTTTTATTTTGGAAAATACAATCTACTGTTAAGTGAATATAGCAGTTTTTGAATTAACTCATACAGCACATCCTAATATTGTTTACAGAGATCTGTTTATATGTATATATTTGCATGGTGAAATTTGATGAAATGTACACTACCCTGTGTTAACAATGGTGATCCTTGGGTGGGTAGAACTTTTTTCAGTATGTTGCTCATCTATGTTGTTGGTTTGTAGGTTTTTTTAAAAAAAAATATAGTTAACACGCATGACTTATGTCATTTAATTTTTTTAATTTTTGATAATTTTTATTGAAATAATTGATTTACAATGTTGTGTTAGATTCAGATGTACAGCAAAGTGATTCACTTAAATCTATATATTGTTTTTCAGATTCTTTTCCATTATATGTTATTACAAGATGCTGAATATAGTTCCCTGTGCTGTACAACAGGTCCTTGTTGGTTATCTGTTTTATGTATATATTTTATGTATACATATTTATATGTATGTTTTAATCCCAACCTCCTAATTTATCCCTCCCCACCTTCCCCCTTTTATAACCATAAGTGTGTGTTCTAGGTCTGTGAGTCTGTTTCTGTTCTATAAATAAGTTCATTTGCATAATTTTTTTAGATTCCACATACAAGTGATACCGTATGATATTTGTCTTTCTTTGTCTGACTTCCTTAACTCAACATGATAATCTTTAGGTCCATCCATATTGCTGCAAAGGTTTCATTATTTCATTCTTCATGATTTCATTCTTTTTGATGGCTGAATAATATTCCATTGTGTATATGTACCACAGCTTCTTCATCCATTCATTTGTCAGTGGATATTTAAGTTGCTTCCATACCTTGGATACTGTGAATCGTGCTGCTATGAACATTGGGGTGCATGTATCTTCACAACTTAGGTGATTTTATAAGGCAAGGGTTTCTTTAATTATATTTCCACACTTGTAGTGGTGTTTGGATTCTCCTATCTGGAACTGCCTGAGCTCCCTAGGGAGAAATGCAGACAATGGGGGACTCTGAGAATCCTGGATTGACCAGGTGTGTGGTCAAAACAGTCCACAAAATGGTGCGGTGAGACAGAACCCTAGCTCTGGAGAAGGAGAGTCATGGCAGTCACTGTTGTCTGAGAGGCAGGACCAGGCAATAAACTCAGAGGGAGGCCCGAGGGCAGAAAGCAGAGGCTTGAAGGAAGGGCAGGCAGGCCAGGGCTGTGGCCAGTCAGGGCCAGAGAGCTCCATGGTGCCCAGGTCTCACAGCAGCCACATAGGCCCAGCACAAAGACCCGCTCAGTACTCTATGAGTTTGGCACCCTTCCTCACTCTACGGTGAGAAAGAAGGAGTTAACATCTGGAATCTTCCGACAGAAACTGCACTCAGAGCGAGCACGCAAAGCCACATTTGTGAAAAATGGGCTCAATTTGATATTTGGAGAGCAATAAAATGGAAATCATTTCAAATTTTAAATGCCCAACATATTGAGACCCACCCTCTGATAGATCTTCCAAATGAGTCTGCAAGCTCTCCCAGCCCAGTTTCAGGAGGGGATTCACTTCTTTGCCAAAAATGTTCCTCTCCTTGAGTTGGAAGACAAGAGGCTTGGGGCTGGCAGGTCTCCCGGGGCCCTCGGTGTGCTGCCGAGCAAGAGCCTTCTACACGGGGCTGAGGAGGAGTGGTGTTCCTTCTTCTCTCGGGTAATGAATTTGATCTAATGGGACTGTCTGAATGTCCAGATAGTGTGGTGATAGGCACCCCATAAACACAGAGATAAACAGGTAGAGAGATAGATGGAGGCAAGCATAATTTGCTTCTAAGTGCCTTTTCACTGGTATAAATAAAGCAAGAAAATAAAGTTGGATGCACTTGCAATACTAATGCAAGGGGGAAATTAAGTGCTAATTACAGGCTTGAGGATAAATGAAAAGGACGTATGTGGAGAAGGCAGAAGTGTCAGAGGTTGCTGCTCCCCTGCCATCGCCGTGAGTCCACCGCGAGGTCATCTGCAGACAGCTTCCACATCACCTCCACTTCCCGTGACTCTGCCACAAGGCATTCTTAGCTCAGGTGGCATGAGGAAGTGGGGGCAGGCTGGGTAAATGACCCAGGAGTACAGGAGTGACCCTCAGCCAGTGAGGAATGAAAATTGAAAGACAAGTAACCCAGCTCCCTGGTCTTTCTGTGGAAGGCTGATTCGAGGTGTCTTCTGTGTAATCTCCCCAAGCCCCCCACCCCAGCAGCATTGCACCCCAGTTTCCCACGGGACAATCCAGCCATTAGCAGACCTTAGTTGGTTTTCCCCACTTCCCTTTCTCACACTCTCACCCAGTCACTGTGCTTCCCCTGATCACCTCCCAGCTGACAACCCGTACCCACGTCCTTGTCTCAGGACCCATCTGCTTTGAGGGCAACTGAAACCATGACAGGCGGGTGGGTACCAGCTGCCTAGTGACCTGAGGTCAGACGTGCAACCTGACACCTGCGTACAACATCAGCAATGGCACGGGACCTGCTCTCAGAAGGACTTCATGCTTGGTTGACACCGTCTTGAAATTCTTAATCATTTTATCTTTGAACCTGTGTTGCATAAGTAACATCTGATGGGATGGTGGAGCATGCACACAAGTAGCACATGGAATGCTGGCTGGCACCTCTGACTCTGCAGGCGGTGCAGCCCAAGCGATTCCCTGGTAACCTGGGGCACTCACGCACACCTCCAGGCAGTCCGGGTCAGCGCAGAGCCCCACGGTCCAGATTGATGGTGCTAATGGTGGCGGCTGAGCAGAAGCCACAGCTGTGGAAGAGAAGAGAGGAGGGGCTCTGTGTGGGGTTCACCCTGGGACCTGTGGTGGGAGGGCAACTTGCCCGTCAGTGCCTGGACCCCATCCTTGCAGCATCTATACAAACATTAACTCTCCACCTTGAGCCCCTGGACAGGAGCTGCCCAAGCTCAGACAATATGCGTTTATCAGTAAATTATTAAAAATAAAAGCATACACATGGATGTTGCAATGAAACACATCAGGGAGCTATTAAAAGTTTTTCAAAGTGTTTAGAATCTCGAGTTTTGAAAACCATTGCAAAATTGCATGAGAAATACCCACAGGCTCAGAAATAGAAATTAAATTTAAAGATCATCGAATTCAGCAGAAAAGAATACAGTTTTCACAGGAAACTTTGGATGAACCAATTATTAATCAAAAGGACAATTTTTAAATTAAGTTTTCCTTACAGTTGAAGATATGGTAATAGAATACATAAACAGGCATTTTGAATTATACATAAATCCTGAAGCCACTTTCTGTTTCTTCTGTGACTTGTACAAGTTACAGAAAATGTCAGACAAAACATTAAAGTGCCTTATATAAATTTATGTTTAAAATTAAATTCAGATTTACATGAAACTGATTTGAGTAGAAATTTTTTAGAAAAAAATGTTGTATCAGCATCATCAGGTCTAGAAATGCTGAAATTTTTGAATTTCAAAATATATTTTGACATAATTGATTAGATATGTATTCCAATGTTGTCACAGCCTATAAAAACACTCATAACAATTCTTGTAACAGTTGTATCAGCAGAAAGATCCTTTTCAAAATTAGAAGTTATAAAAGTTATCTGTAATTTTGCATTTGCCAGGACTGATGTTGCTTTCAATTTGTATAGATTGAAAATGAAGTTGCTGAAAGTATAAATTTTGATGACCTAATAAATGAAAAAGCAGAAAAGTGAGCCACAGAAATATGGTCAGTCAAGATATCACATTAATAAATATCAGACTTCCCTGGTGGCTCAATGGTAAAGAATCTGCCTGCCAATGCAGTAAACATGGGTTCAATCCCTAGTCCAGGAAGATCCATAATAAAATAAAATTAAAATTAAAAAAATAAAGTATTGTTTATTGTACTACATAATATTATGACACCAAAATGTTATTGTTTGCAGTTTGTACCTTTATATTGTTATGCATGTATCACTGTTACTGTGTTTTAGAGGTCATAAAACATTTTTTAAAGGAAAAATTCTATATTTTGGTAACTTGAACAGTACTTTTTCCTGCTTTTGGAACAGGGGCCCTGCATTTTCATTTCACGTGAAGCCCCATGGGTTATGTAGGCAGCTCTGCCTGCTTAACTTGTTTACCAAGTTTTCCAGGACAGATAAGTTAGGCCTGTGGCCTTCAGGTCTGACACTGATTTTCTCTTTTTTTTCGTATTCTGAAATTAAAAAAAATTTTTTTTAATTGAAATGCAGTTGATGTACAATATTATATGTTACAGTTGTACAGTATAGTGATTGACAATTTTAAAGGTTCTATTCCACAGGTAGTTATTGTAAAATATTGGCTTTGTTCCCCATGTTGTACAATATATCCTTGTAGCTTATTTTATACCTAATAGTTTGTACCTCTTTATCCCCACTCCCTGTGTTACCCCTCCCTACTTCCCTCTCTCCACTGGTAACCACTAGTTTGTTCTCTATATCTGTGAGTCTGCTGCTTTTTGTTATATTCACTAGTTTGTTGTATTTTTTAGACTCTTTATATAAGTGATATCATAATTTGTCTTTGTCTGACTTATTTCACTTAGCATAATGCCCTCCAAGTCCGTCCATGTTGCTGCAAATGATAAGGTTTCATTCTTTTTTATGGCTAAATAGTATTCCGTTGTATATATGTAACACATCTTCTTTTTCCATTCATCTGTCAGTGGACACTGAGATTGCTTCCATGCCTTGGCCATTGTGAATAGTCTAAGTATGAACATTGGGATGCATGTATGTTTTTGAATTATGGTTTCCTCTGGGCACATGCCCAAGACTGGGATTGCTGGATCATATGGGAACTTTGTTTTTAGTTTTTTGAGAAACCTCCATACTGTTTTCCTCAATGGCTGCACCAATGAACATTCCTACCAACAGTGTACAAGCGCTCCCTTTTCTCCACTTCTGTCCTCTCTTCTTAATCCAGCTGCATCACATGGTTGGCAATAGTAATAACAAGAGGTAAACTGTAAGGACTGCAGAGGAAGGAATTCTTGGTCCTGAGACCTCACAGACTGGGTCTTTGTCTTTGGCTGCAGGCTTCCCTGGGGAAGAAGCATAAACTTGGGCAATGACAGTGTTCCCTGTACCCAAGGACACAGCTGTGAGCCATCAGTGGTGGGGGCGGGGAGCTGGGTAGGCTGGTTCTAAAAGAGTACCTGGGTAGAACAGGACAGTATTTCCCACAGTCTGCCCCTTGTGCCACTTCATTCACTTACTTCTTATAATGAATTGACTCCACTTGAGAAGAGCTTGTCCAGGATTCCGGGGTCATGCTTTCTGGGAAATTTAAAGGGGTGGGTAGGAGAACTGTAGCCCCTACTGCTGAAAGTTGATTTTGAAGCCATAGTAGTTACTCCTCCTCCACCACCAGTTTTCATAGACTCCCCTCGGCTAGCACCCCTGTTGTCTAGTTGCCGTTCACGGTGAAGGATAAAGACCCTCATTCATGGAAGGTCTGAACCCTGGGTTACCATGGCCTCTAACGCTGTGACTGCTGTACTTGTCCATTTACCGTTACCCCTGGACATTAAGGGCACCAACAGATTCCTCAGTGGATGATCTGGGAGCCGGATTCCTGACTGTCTGGGTTGCATACCTGTGGCTCTACGTCCTTCTAACGATTGGGAGTTTGTTACCACTGCCAGAACGGTGGCACTTTCTTTACCTGCTGAGTAACTTGGCATAAGGAACCCAGAGACTGGGAGACCACTAAATCTTAAAGTGTAATGAAAACCTTACTGTGTCCCCTGATGTAAACATTCCTCTTCTGAGAATCAAGATCCATATTGTGTGGACCAGAAGTACACATTCCCCCAGTGACTCTATGGGGTTGATATGAACTGGGCCACTCCTACTTTCATCTCTTGGTTCCTAGATGCACATAGCCTACTTATGAGGCCACAACACCTTCTAATCATTGTTGATTTGGAGGATGGACAATGTCCTGAAAGATGGAATCCCATCTTTACAGGACATTTTCTCCAAACTGGGGCATCAGCTGCACCATTCACAGGCCTTTCCCCTGCTTTATTGTGCCAACAGCTCCTGGGTGGTGCAGTATATGAGAGAACCAGAGCATCCTGTGGTTATCTGCCCACACTCATGCCTCATTTGCTGTAAAGAGGGCCTCCCCGTCTGAGTTGATGCTGTGTAAGATCCCATCTCAGTGAGTCCAGTGCTCTGTAAGCCTTCTGATAGGGGTGCTTGCTGAGCCCCAGTAGTCAAGAAAGGTAAACCCACACCGCACCCATCTTTGATCCCAGTCAAGTTGAATTATTGCCCTGTCAAGGGTGGAAATCAACTTGCTACCATGTGGTCAACAGTCCCCTTTGAGGAATGGCGCCATATTGGGAGTTTAGCATTGCTCTCTGTTAATGACAGGTTGGACATTCAACCGTGCTAGTAGCTAAATCAGCCTTTGTGACAGAGGGCCTATGCAATTGGGCCCATAAATAACCTCCATTCCTGTGCCGTGACTACTTTGTTCACACACATATTATGCCATTGTTCCAGCACTGGGGTGGCCACTGACAGATGATGGTGGATGTCAACTGGCAGAATCATTCTTTCTACCTGGTTGTTTGGTTCCTCTTAAGTACTCAGTGCTCTCTGGTGCATATTTATGTCTGACACAAAAATCTTCGTATTTAGCGCATACCCCCATAGGTCCCTTCCTCCACACACTTCTTCCCCAGATTTGCTGGTCCCTGATCTTTTTAAAAACTTTTATTTATTTATTTTTGGCTGTGCTGGGTTTTCATTGCTGTGTGGGCTTTTCTCTAGTTGCAGTGAGCGGGGGTTACTCCCTAGCTGTGGCGAGCAGGCTTCTCATCTCTTGTTGCAGAGCATGGACTCTAAGGTGTGTGGGCATCAGTAATTGTGGCATATGGGCTGAGTTGCTCTGTGGCTTGTGGAATCTTCCTGGACCAGGGATCAAATCCATGTCCCCTGCTCTGGCAGGCACATTTTTTTTTTAATTTTTATTTTGTACTGGGTTATAGCTGATTAACAAACAATGTTGTAGCAATTTCAGGTGATCAATGAAGGAACTCAGCCATACATAGACATGTATCCTTCTCCCCCCAAACCCCACCTCCCATAACATTGAGCAGAGTTCCATGTGCTATACAGTAGGTTCTTGTTGGTTATTGGCAGGTGGATTCTTAACCACTGAACCACCAGGGAAGTCTGTCCTTGATCTTCTAATCTTTCTCCTTTCTGGACCCTGACCAACCAACCTGGCCATTTGCCACTGCCTATCTACATGGGCTTCCCTGGTGGCTCAGAGGTTAAAGCGTCTGCCTCCAATGTGGGAGACCCGGGCTTGACCCCTGGGTCGGGAATATCCCCTGGAGAAGGAAATGGTAACCCACTCCAGTATTCTTGCCTGGAGAATCCCATGGACAGAGAATCCCATGGACGGAGGAGCCTGGTAGGCTACAGTCCACGGGGTCGCAAAGAGTCAGACATGACTGAGCGACTTCACTTTCATGAGTCTGTATATTTTCTTACTTCAGGCTGCATCTCTTTCTGTACAAGGTAAATTATCAGGTACATTAGCTAGATCTCTGCCCCTTGAAAAGATTTCTCCTCACTTCTGTATTCAGGGCCATCCCTGACTGAGGCTATAGTGTGACAGTCACTCATATTTGGCTTGCAGCAACCTACCAAGTTGCTCCATCTGTAACTTGAGCTCAGCCCTGTCACTAATCCATCAGCTGGTCATAAGGGACCCCCACGCATGGCCCT